AATCAGATCATCCATCAACTTTTTAAATGGCAGAGCAGGGTCAATGTGCCAAAGAGCCTAAGTCTGCTCCTTGTTTGTGTGTTCATATGCAATCTCGTATCGTACTCGTAAAAGGATTGAGAAGGAAAGGTCACAGATATAATGTAATTTGCAACAAAAACAAACGAGGTGTGAGGAAACTTTTTTTTTTCCACACAGCGAGCAGTTGTGTTCTGGAATGCACTGCCTGGAAATGTGTTGGAAGCAGGTTCAATGATGCCTGTTCAAATAGGCATCAATGTACAGGGTTATGAGGAAAAGGCAGGAGAATGGAAATAAGTCAGAATGCTTATTCAGGGAACCAGTGTAGACACAGTGGGCTGAATGGCCTCCTTCTGCAACATCGTAATTCTGTGATATCCTTGATCACACCACAAAGCAGTCCTTTCTGAGAGGGGCATTATTTTTTGGGTGACATGTGCGACACTGGCCAGGCCAGCACTTATTATTTTCCAGAACGTGATGGTGAGCTGCCTTCTTGAACCTTGGTATGGTGCAGGTATACCCACTGCTGCTAGGAAGGACATTCCCAGGTTTCTGCCCAGTGACAGCGAAGAAGCGATAATGTATTGCAAGGAATTTGTTTTTCTTTTTATTTTTGTGAGTTTAAAAACCACGGATTTCAAACTTTTGGCAGCTCGTTCAGGATTTGGATTGGATTAGGTTAGATCGATTTGGATAGGAAACAGGCAACGAAGATTTAGGTGTGGTTTGGTATCTAATACAGGTGAAGGAAGATATCAGCTTCTGTACTGCATTTTAGGCATGGCATTGGAAGCAGCAAAAAATTTCCTGCAGATGTTTCTGTGAGATTTGAATTCGATAAATCGGAGATATTTCCAAAGAGAATCAGTCGTGCTATACTTCTTACAAACCAGTGGAAGCTTCCAGAGAGAGACAGTTGAACACCAAGGATCTGAAGGTGGAGTTAGGAGGCAAAAGCCACTGAACTGACTTTGCTGTTTTCTCTACCTCCGCCGATAATCTATTTTCCTGAAAATAAAACAAAAATCTGCAGATGCTGGAGATCTGAAACAAAAACAGAAATTGCTCGAGAAACTCGGCAGATCTGGCAGCGTCTGTGAGGAGAGAAACAGAGTTAATGTTTCAAGTCCAATGTTTCGATTATCAGAATATCAAACAGTTCTGTTGAAGAGTCACTAGTCTCAACATTAACTGTTTTCTTTCCCCCCACAGATGCTGCCAGACATGCTGAGTTTCTCCAGCAAACTATTTTCTGTGTCTGTGCATGTCTGCGCGCGTGTGTGCATGTCTGCGCACGTGTGCGCGTATCTGTGTCTTAACGGGGAGTTTATAAAGGGATTAGTGTATTAGTTAGTGTTATATGCCATTGATTTATATCTGTTTACCTATAGCTACAGTCTTATCACTTGTAATAAATAATAAATCTGTTTAGCCCGAAAGGCAGGTAAATTGTTGTACAGTATTTTAGAAATATCTTTTAATATTTGGGACGACTCCAGGAGTCCAACTGTCTACCTTACTGGATCATAACAATTTTCCAAGTCTTTCTAATGGTCAGGGTTGTGGGTTTGGAAGGTGCTGATTATTGCATTAATCCTGAGCAACTGCACTGACAACTAGGACAGGACTGGTTACTCAAATTCTGGGTGGCACTGGAAATGCAGACAGGAGCACAAGGGAGCCATGTGGCTCATCCCACACCATATATAACAGCAAAGTACTTCCATGGGAGAAATCTGAAATAAGGACTGATGCGATTGGAAACCACTCAGCAATTTGGAGAATATCTTGGGGGAACGGAAGAGAGAGAGAGAGAGAGGGAGAGAGAGAGGAAACAAAACTAAGTTGACATTCCAGGTAGATGAGCTTTCACGAGAGTTGAGAATTGGTGGGGATAGACCATTTTTTTTGAGAAATGGATTCTGTGTAATCCAAGGTGGAGGACAGAAGAAAATTGTACTGTTAAGAGCAGCTTGTTTTTGGCAGTTTTTTCAGTGTTGGAGCTGATTTCTTTGAATTCTTCGAGTAGTAATTACTGTTACAAGCTGTTGCATTGTTTTGGAACTTTGGGGGGAAAAAACCATATGGAACCAGGCAAATAGGGCCCTGGAGTGGTGTGATGAAGGAACTAACAAAAGAGAAGATCTGTATAGGGGGAGGGCAAGAGGGAAGGACAACGGGAATGATTGCAGCAAGGGGGAAAAAATGAGTGATGATAAGACACAACAAACCAAAAGATGGTGGTACAAACAGTTTGAATAGCAGATGGAGAGTGAAACATTGACATCTGACAAATGGGAGAAGGCTTCCATGAAGAATGTTCGTCTGTCAAAAATCTGAAGAAGGGTCCTGACCCGAAACGTCAGCTTTCCTGCTCCTCTGATGCTGCCTGGCCTGCTGTGTTCCTCCAGCTCCACACTGTGTTATCTCAGGCCACCTCCTCTTCTCATACAGCCATCCTGCATTTACCAAAGTCCAGCCCAGGAGCAATGGTTCAAATCTTAAAGTCATTTACTTTTGATCTTTAAAGCTGTTGAATGTAATTATTTTATATCATGGTTTATTTTTCTCTCCGTCACCAGAACTGGCAAAGTAAAAAGTGCAATGGTTTGCATAGAACCTTTCATTAAATAATGGCTGTATTTCTCGGCTCTTTGATGCATGCTGTTGTCGAGCTAACAGTTGTTAAGGGTTTTGGTTGGAAGGAGGTTGCAGGCTATTTTAAATATTGATAACACAGGAGGCTTTTCCCTGTGGAGCCCATGCTAGAAAACTATCTTGAACACACCTGCTGCTTAGACAGAAGTTGTCAATAATTAAACACGCTGCATAGAACCTCCAAAATATCAGAGCGTTTCTGAATCGAAGTGTTTTATGTTGAATTATAAATTACAATCAAGAGAATGCTGGCTCTGATGGGCGCAAATCTTTAAGTTACTGGGTGCTCTAATTAATTAACCCTCATGTAAATATTCTCTTTTCCCTTTTATTGACATGCTTTTTGAGGGGGAGGGGAGTGGAATTAGGATTTTCTACGTGTTCTTGTGGCCCACCCAAGTAGCAAATGACCCCAAACAAATCCTTCCAGTGAATGTTGATGGGGTATTTGGTGATTGGTAACTAGGCACTGCTTGACGGCTATATAAATTCATATCGAGCCCTGTTAGTGGGTGAGGGGCAATGCTCAGAACTCTGCTTGATCCTCCTCACTCTCTAATCTTTAGAGCCTCATGTCCTGCTACTTTCCAAGCTGAGATCAGTTCAGGCCAGGAGGATTAACCCCAGTAGCTGTCTACTTGTCTGGTTCCTTAATTATCCATGTACATTGCGTTAAAATTTGCAAGTTAACATCAGAGCAGGAGTTGGCCATCCAGCCCATCAAGTAATCCTGCTATTCAATAAACTGATCGAACATGTTAATGCCTTTTAACTCACCATATCCGCACGGATTAAAACAAAAAGCCTATCAATCTGTTCCTTAAACGCACTCGAAGACTGAGCCTTCACTGTCTTGTGGTAGAGAATTCTAAAGATTCCTTTAAGGTGAAGGGAAAGATTCAAAAAAGACAGAGCGGCAATTTTTTTTTAACACAAAGAGTGGCTTTGTGCTTGGAGTGAACTTCCAGAGGAAGTGGTGGATGCGGCTACAATTACAATGCTTAAAAGGCACTTAGATAAGTACATGAATAGGAAATGTTTGGGGGGATATTGGCCAGCAACAGGCAGGTGGGACTGGTTTAGTTTGGGATTATGCTCAGCATGGGCTGGTTGGACTGGAGGGTCTGTTTCCGTGCTGCATGACTCTGATTCTGAGTAAAATAATTTCTCCTCGTCCCTGACTGAAGCGGCATCCGTCCTTATTTCTAACTTGGGCTGCAAGGATTTGGGTTTTCTAACCAGGGGAAACAGCTGCATCTACCCTGCCTGTCCCTTTTAGTATTTTGGAAGTTTTATTGAGATCACCTCCATAATTCTTTGAAACTTTAGAGAGCACAGGCCTAGTTTGCCCAAACTTTCTTCATAGCCCAGTCCCATTACCCCGAAATAAGTCTGTTGAACTGGGGATGGAAGTAGGCATGTTAGCAATTTTAAAGCGTATCTTAACGGACAAGTGGATGGGAGGCGAACAAAGGGATGGAAACCGTGCATGGGCAATAAGTCGAGGGTCTAAATAAGCATCAGTGGGCTGAAGGGCCTGTTCCTGTGCCATATTGACTTATATTGTATTCATCACAGAACCTATACAGTGTGGAAACTGGTCATTCGGCCCATTTATCTCACCCAGACTCACCCCCTACTCCTTCCCTGTAATCCTGCATTATCCCATGGTTAATGCACCTAGCCAGCACATCCCTGGACACTATAGCAAATTTATCATGGCTAATCTACCTAACCTGTACATCTTTGGACTGTGGGAGGGAGCTGGAGCACTCGGCAGAGACCCACGCGGACACACGGAGAATGTGCAGACTCCACCCAGTCAGTCACCCAAGGGTGGAATCGAACCCGGGTCCCTGGCGCTAAATGGCAGTGATTCTAACCACTGAGCCACCGTGCCTATATATTGTATTGTAATGTTTAACTTCCACCACGCTCCTGCTGGCCAATAATATCTTTCCAAGATAAGGAGACCAAAACTGCACAGTATTCCAGGTCTGGTCTAACCAAACTCCCACACCATTGCAGCAAGACAAAAGTTGCCAGTTTTGACAAACCCACATGGGTTGAGGCAGTATACTGCTGCGAGGGGAAAACGTGGCAGAAATCAGGGCAGGTTTGTATGTTTCTTTTGGCATCTGACTTATTGATGCTTAACAAGGAGGAAGATTTGAAAATAAGAAACACTTTGGAGCAGGGATTTGAAGGTGAAAAGAGCTGGAAGGGGGCAGTCACCGGTAAAAATGTCCACAGCATTTTCAGAAGCGACTGAAACATTTTGTAAAACTCCTTTTTTCTCTTTGTCGTTTGTTTTGCAGGGAAATGACGCACACAAACCCTTTGCTTTCACCCCAGAATGCACCTCACATTGCTTTGGGCCCTCATCTAAGGCCTCCATTCCTAGGAGTTCATTCAACCCTGTGCCAAACCCCGGGTAAGTACAAAAACATGGAAATCTGCCTGAGGAGTTATCATTAACAGTTATGTACATGCAGTGTAACATTTTAGTTATCTCCTTTGATGCAGGACTGTGGTCAGGAAGTGTTATTTTTTCCACACTGTTTCACAGGATTTTGTGGTCTTTGCTGTAGCAAGGCCAGTGCTTTTGCCCATCTGTAACTGCCTTTGAACTGAGTTGCTTACTGCTTCATTCCAGAGGGCAGTTGAGAGTCAACCTCATTTCTGTGGGTCTGGAGTCACATGAAGACCAGACTGGATGAAGAAAGCCAGATTATCTTCCTGACAGGACATTAGTGAAATAGACCCAACAAAAAGAAAACCTACAATGATTGTCATGGTCACTGCAACTGAGATAAGCTTGACTCTTCCAGAGTTGCTAATTGAATTCAAATTCCATTGGTAACTGTGGTGGGATTTGAACTCATGTCTCCTCTCTACCCGCGCCCCCCCCATTTATGAATTCAGTGATGTTTATCACTGTGCTACTGTGTCCCCCTAGGTCGGGTGAGCCAGGCTGTATGGTGAATGGTCAGATGAATAAACCCTCACTTGCCAGGCCGAGATATGGACTGACCATGGGAGGGCCGCAGGAAAGAATCCGGGTCGGGGGGGGAGAGAGATGTAAAAATAACAGGGATACGTGTGGAATCATTCACCCTTCTAGCAATCTCTGCGCCAACCAGGACTAATGGGCCACATTTTGTTTGAGATGCAGCAGGAAAGACAGACTTCTATTTATAAAGGAAATTTGCTAGTAACACCTCCAAATGTGCTTTGTATCCCAGATATGAATTACTAATGACTGGCAGCCTTGTATAAAGGGTTGCACCTTTGACAGTGTGGCACTCCTTCAGCGCTGCATTGGGCGACGAGGCCTGGATTAAGGGCTTAATACATCCTCCTTGACAATGAACTCACATCAAAGAATTGCTGTGCCACGAATGATTATTAGATCACACCTGGCGTGTTAATGGGAGAGGATCAAGTTTGCTGTGGTGGATCACAGTGGTTTGGGTTTCCTGTGGTAGATCACACCCAGAGTGTTAATGGGAGTGGATCGGGTTTCCTGTGGTAGATCACTCCTGGAGTGTTAATGGGAGTGGATCGAGTCTGCTGTTGTACATGGCAGGCAGAATATAGAGAGACAGGGACGTGCTGTCGCTGATTGTTGACCTCTGACCTCTGAACTGTCGTAGGTTACGGATTTTTGCAGCCGGCCCAGGCAGAAATCTTTGCACGACAGCAGGAGATGCTTCGGAAGCAGAACCTGGCAAGGTAAGCATGGTGTAGAGAAAGGCTGGTGGGTCGGCCAGATGTTTCCAGTTTATCACAAGCCGAGGAATGCCTGCGGTGAATAATTGGGTACCTCTTGTACCTGGCACCACCTGCTAGACCCTGCCATCACACTCCCAGCCTCTGCCTGTGCAATATGAAACTTCATGAACACACTGCGTCATTTTTTGTCTGCCCTGAACATTGCAAATTTCTTACAAAACCAAAAACCATTATGATACTCTTAGTCTGTATTTCCCTGCACTAGTCTGGGATAAAACGAGACCATTCAGCCCAATTGATTGGAGCTGGCACTTAAACCATTCTGGTCTCCTCCCATTCTATTGACATGATCATCTCTTCCCATCTCTCTCGCTCATTTATCTAGTTCCCACTGAAATGCATCAGTTATTTGCCTCCACTGCTCTCTGTGGAAAGGGGTTTCTCTAGAAAATAGGAACAAGATTAGGCCATTCAGCCCATCGAGCCACTCAATCACCCGATTTTGTATCTTGTTCCCACTTTCTCCCTGTGGGCTCTGGCACTCAGACTGCTGGAATGGCCTGTCCACCTTTCTTACGGCAAGTCATGGTAAAGTCAGCATTATCCTACCAGGCCTTGGGGCTGTCTCTCGTTAGGGACGACTGGTGGTGGTTTAACCTGAGGGTCACCACGTCTCAGGTGAGGCTGAGAAGGTGCGGCATTCACAGTAACATCAGCTTTGTACCCATGCAGTTGGTGTCACTCTGTATCACTAAACAGCTGTCCAGCCAACTGAGCTAACCCAGCCCCCTTACTGCAGGTAGGCACCAAACAAGCAAGGTCACCAGGGCGAGACAAGAAAAGCTTGCATTTGTATAGGGCCTTTTATGGTGTCGGTCTTTACAGCCACTTACAAAGTGCAGTTGCTGTTGTAACATGGGAAATGTGACAATCACTTTGTGCGCAGCAAGCTCTCACAAGCAGAAAATGTGATCATGCCCTGATAACGCGTTTTCACGATGTTGAATGAGGGGTAAAGAATGACCCAAGACACTGGGACTATCTTTCCCCCCCCTTCTCCTCTTCAGAACTGTGCCTTGGGACCTTTTATGTCTCCCTGGAATGGCAGGTAAGCCTCTGTTTAGCGTCTCCTCCGAAAGATGGCACCTCTGATGGTGCAGCATCTTGCCGGCGCTGCTCTGGAGCCTAAACCCAGGTGTTGTGCTCGAGTTCCTGGAGTGGGACTTGAACTCACAATTGTCCTGGCTCAGGGTTAAGTGTGCTACCAACAGAGACATGGCTGACACCTGTGGTGCTGGAGACCCGGGCACTGGACTCAGCTCATGAAATGTGTGTTTCAGCAGGCAGGTGGTTACAGTTGATGTACTCAAAAGACTAGACCAAGTGGGCTGAAGGGCCTTCTTTATCCCAAAGGACCTTGGGACAGCTTACCAATACCTTTATTGTGCTCAGTTATCTGATGCGTGCTGTTTCTGCTCACTGGGGACCAAGAGTGTCCCATGTAGTAGTTGCCTGATGCTCTCCGCTCTGGCCACAGTGAATTTCTAACACGCTTGAGAGTTTGTAATTAATAGAATCATATTTTTTCACAACAGAAATGTCCCAGTGATCAGATTGGCTGCTGCGAAAGAACACCATGGGTATTAAGCTTTCCATCTGAAATACAGCAGAGATTTTAAGATACTAGTCATTTTCTGAAGGCGTGTCTCAGGTAGTTAAACGTACTGAAGGTTTCTCTCACTCTGTTCTGTCTCTAGGCTTGAGATGTCTGCTGAGCTTCTGCGTCAGAAAGAGTTTGAGAACATGCACAGGCAGCGAATTCTCGGAGCCGACCCTTTGTCACTGCACTCCAGCTTGCCCCCGGACCACCCCGCCCTGCGCAGCATCCACGACGTCCCCGAGGGCCACCCGCTGCGCGAGGAGATCTCCCGCCGCAACGCCATGCTCGTGCTCCGGCACAACACAGCACCGCTGCTGTCTCTCAACCATGCCGTTCCGGGCAACGCACCCCCCAAAGAGCCGGGGCGCAAGGGGACCCGGAAGGTGGCTCACCACCGGACAGAGGCGCAGTGTGTTGGCGAGGTCAAAGATCACCTTGAGACCCGTGTCCGAGATGGGAGCGCCGACTGCAACGACGAGGAGATGAAAGACTCGGAGAGTGATCCTGAAGCGGGCGACGACAAGCCCGAAAACCTGAAGACTGAGGTGATCGGTTCAGTCCACGAACTCAAGGAGTGCAAAGAGAACGTAAAATCTTGCGAGAATATTAAGGAAATGCACGAGGCTTCCACCGCTCAGAACCCCCCTTGTGTTTCTGTGGGCTCCGACTCTCCGAGCCATCTGCTGGGTTCTGGAATCGCTGAAAACAAAGCTAAATATCTCCCATCTGCTCCAGCTCCACTCCCTCAGCCCCTGCCATTTGGATTTCCGTACACAGCGAATCCTTACTTTCACACAGGTAAGCTTGAGCTGCCTGCAATACAACCAGCTAATGACCTCTGGTGTATTTCTCATAGCTGTGGTTCCCAAGGTCTCATTGCTGAAGGAAGCTACAAATACTTACCATCTATAAAGCTGCGCTGTTTGATCACACCCTGTGGCTCACTTGCGATGCAGCAGTTTTGCTGAGTTTCTCTATATGATGAGTTTTTCATCATCTATATATACGTGCATATCATTTATATGAGAGGTATGGTTAGTAAGTTTGCAGATGACACCAAAATTGGTGGTTTAGTGGACAGCGAAGAAGGTTGCCTCCGAGTACAACAGGACCATAATTAGATGCGCCAATGGGCCGAGGAGTGGCAGATGGAGTTTAATTTAGATAAATGTGAGGTATTACACTTTGGTAAGGCAAGTTAGAGCAGAACCTGTACAGTTAATGGTGGGGTGTGTTGCTGAACAAAGACCTAGAGGTGCAGGTGCATAGTTCCTTGAAAGTAGAGCCACAGGTAGACAGGGTGGTGAAGAAGGTGTTTGGTACGCTTGCCTTTATTGCTGAGTGCATTTGAGTACAGGAGTTGGAAGGTCATGTTGTGGCTGTACAGGACATTGGTTAGGCCACTTTTGGAATACTGCGTACAATTCTGGTCTCCCTGCTATTAGAAAGATGTTGTGAAACTTGAAGGGTGCAGAAAAGATTGACTAGGATGTTGACGGGACCAGAGGGTTTGAGCTACAAGGGGAGGCTGGGTAGGCTGAGGCTTTCTTTTTCCCTGGAGCGTCGGAGGCTGAGGGGTGACTTTATTAGAGCTTTATAAAATCATGGAGGGCATGGATAGAGTGAATACCCAAGGTCTTTTCCCTATGGCAGGGGAGTCCAAAACTAGAGGGCATGGGTTTAAGGTGAGAGGGGAAAGATTTAAAAGGGACCTGAGGGGCAACTTTTTCACGCAGAGGGTGGTGTGTGTATGGAATGAGCTGCCAGAGGAAGTGGTGGAGGCTGGTACAATTACAACATGTAAAAGGCATCTGGATGGGTATATGAATAGGAAGGGTTTAGAGGGAAATGGGCCAAATGCTGGCAAATGGGATTAGATCCGATTGTGATGTCTGGTCGGCTCGGATGAGTTGGACTGAAGGATCTGTTTCCATACTGTATGATTCCGCATGTCTAGCCCTTGGTCCCTCTCTCTCAGCTGACCAGCCTTCATGTGTGAACTGGGATGGGTCAACAGATTTTTCAACCTCAAAGTATCCCAGCTGAGTCCGATTTTCATAGAAGTTCATAGAATCCCTATAGTGTGGAAACAGGCCCTTTGGCCCACCAAGTCCACACTGACCATCAGATCATCCCACCCAGACCCATCGCCCTATACCCCACCTAGTCTTTTTGGTCTTAGTCTTTCCACCAACCAACTGGTAGTCAGACTTTTCTCTAGTTCCAAGACCAATCCTGTTGTCTCCTAGTGTCAAACCAGTTGGAATCTCATCGTAGACAAGATTGGTCTGTATGATTCGTTACTGCAGCTGCTGGGTCAGTTAACTGCTAACCTGTTCAGACTGCTGTTTTTAAATGAACAAGAATGTTCCCCATGACTGGGGAGTCCAGAACCAGAAGTCACAGTCTAACGATACAGATAGGCCGTTTAGGATGGAGATCAGGAGCAATTTCTTCACCCCAGAAAATGATGATCCCATAACGTTCTCTGTCACAGGAAATGGTTGAGGCCAAAACATTGAATATTTTCAAGAAGGACATAGATATAGTTCTCAGGGATTAAAGGGATTAAAGGGTGTGGGGAGAAAACGGGAACAGGGTACAGAAAAGCTGTCATTATACTGAATGAATCATGTCTGACGAATGAGTGGCCGACTCCAGCTCCTATCTTCTACGTGAAGAATTAACTTCTGATTAATACCCTGAAAGGAATGTTCCACTTTGTCTGTTTGGCTAATATTATAAGCAGTGATGCAGAAAGTCTTTAGACTGAGTTGGACAGGTTTAATGAGGTTAGGCCATTGAAAGGATTAGGGATCAGCTAAGCAGGTAAATGGAGTCAAAATCCATGCCTCACTAAGGACCTCAATACTTTTGGGGTTTCATACCTCCTGCAGTCCTCCTTTCACCCACAATTTTCAGACTTTACAACCCAAGCTTCCATTATTTTATTGCTGTGTACAAATTTCCTACGTAACTCCAACAGTTATGTAGCCATGGCTTCATCTAATGGTAGAGCAAAGTCACAGAGTAACCTGGGGGACAGATATTCAAATCCCACCACAGCAGCTGGGTGAATTTAAATTCAATTAAGAAGTCTTTGACTGTGAATTTACTATCAATTGTCATTATAACCCATGATGTCCTTTAGCGAAGGAAATCTCCCATCCTTCCTTGGTCTGGCCTACATGTGACTCCAGGCCACAGCAATGTTGTTGACCCTTACCCTGCCCTCTGCAATGACCTAACCAACCACTCAGTTTAAGGGGAAAATACTTAATTTTGAGGAACTTCACTTCCACTTTTGATCACTCAGCAATACTGTGCAAGTTGTAGTTGGAACTAGGGTGTCTGTGTTCATTCCTTGTTCTCTGGTGTTCTGAGCAAATGCTGGAAAACCTCTGGTGTACTGTACAGCCTCTTGTGCAATTGATTGATTGAGGGATGATCTCATAACAATTTGTTTACTTTTCAATTCTGGAGTATTTCAAAAGTGGTGATGGATCCTGCTGCTTTTACAGTTTGTGATGGGTCTCTATTTTTTTAAGCAATCCTCTGCCTATGTCAATTTATGCTAAACTTTCAGTAACTAAACAACATAGTCATGTTGAGGACAGGGTGGAGACCATTCAGGCTGTCTCGCCTGCTCCAGATCTTCTCTCCAGCTGATCCATGTTCATGTCCAATGACATGTTTGGAAAGGCACTTATTTTGAATGTTGATGAATTGAATATCATTCTCTGCTCCATCTCTAAACATGTGAATGTTTGTTATGTGCTGGGAAAACTGCAGTTTATTGGCAATCCCTTTATGGTCCTTGAGAAAGTGGCTGTGAGCATCTGTCTTGAACTGTGGTCCTTATGGTGAATGTACAGTCAGCTCCCACAGTGCTGTTAGGCAGAAACTCCAGTGTGTTAATCCAATGCAGTGAAAGAATGGTAGTAGCTGTAAAGTTGTGACAGTGTGAGAGATTTGGGGCTGCCAATGTTCACATGCACTTGCTGCCTTTGTTTTTCTAGGGTGGTGGAGCTTTCAAGTTTGGGAGTTGCTGCAGTACATCTTGTAGATGGTACGTGCTGCTAGCACTGTGAGAATAGATCCTGAAACCAGTGGATGGAATGCACATGGGAGAGCAATTTGAATAAAAAATATCAACTGTGAAGCATTTTTGGTCCTTTTTGAATTGCAAAACTGGTCTTGTCCCAATTACTAATAGCTGTAGAGACCATTAGACTGCATTTTACACTGAACATCAGAAACTCAGATATATCTAGTGCTTTAATAAACACTGTTTCCCTAATACTCCAGTCTGCACATAGTTACTGCGGTGTTACTGTAAGCCTTCTGATAAGATTATCAGATATAATATGGCACATACAGGTTAGGCATGGATCTGGAGATGTGCACTATTTAATATAATTGAGGATGAGGGCAAAAGGTCAGGCTAAAAATCTGGTGAATAGGTTATTTTCTGGAATGGACTAGTGTAAGGTACAGATTGTAAACACTGTGGGTATTTGTTGCATGTTTTCTCCTTTGAAGTATCTACAGTTTCCATCCAGTGATATTGTTCCAAGTGCCTTGATTTTCACCTCTTCAGTTCTCTGGCTGCTGTTTAACTTTACATTAAGCTTGGGATGAGGTATGCTTTTAGAGGAAATAGCTCAGCCACTTCCAGGAAGTACACACTTTACATGAGACCTTTTCCACTGTAGTGTTGAGGAAAGCCAAACTCTCCGTGCTAGTGACTTTTTTCAATGAGTCATTAAACTGAGATCCAACCTGCCCTCTCAGGTGGCAATGGAAGATCCCACTGAACAGCAAGACAGTTCTCTTAGTGAAATCTCCAACTGCTGCCTCCCGTGGTTTAGCCTGAAGGCTCCACTCTCTCTTAGGAACATAAGAAATAGGAGCAGGAGTAGGCCATCTGCCCCATCGAGCCTGTTCCACCATTCAATAAGATCTTTATTGTGGGCTCAACGCCACTTACTCACCCTCTCACTGATAACCCTTAATTCCTTTACTGTTCAAAAATCTACCTCTCATTGCCTTAAAAACATTCAATGAGGTAGCCTCAACTACTTCACTGGGCAGGGAATTCCACAGATTCACAACCGTTTGGGTGATGAAGTTGCTCCTCAACTCAGTCCTAAATCTGCTTCCCCTTATTTTGAGGCTATGCTCCCTTGTTCCAATTTCACTCGCCAGTGGAAACAACTCCCTGATTCTATCTTATTCCCTTTATAATTTTGTGTTTCTATAACATCCCATCACGTTCTTCTAAATGCCAATGAATACAGACCCAGCCTACTCAGGCTATCCTCTTAAGCCAACCCTCTCAACTCCGGACTCAACCTAGTGAACCTCCTCTGTACCCCGCCCAGTGCCAGTACATCCCTTCTCAAGTAAGGAGACCAAAACTGTACACAGTATTCTAGGTGTGTCCTCACCAGCACACTGTTCAGCTGTAACCTTGCTGCTTTTAAACTCCATCCCTTCAGCAATGAAGGACAATATTCCGTTTGCCTTCTTAATTCCTTGCTGCACCTGCAAACCAAGTTTCTGTGATTTACGCACAAGGACACCCAGGTCCCTCTGCACCCGCGGCATGTTGCAATTTTTCACCCGTTTTAATAATAGCCCATTTTTCTGTTATTCCTATGAAAATGGATGACTTCTCAACGCTGGTGGGAACTGTTCTGAATGTGAGAAGGACGAGGCAGAGCAGGACATTTGGATGATCTCCTCCGTTATTCTCATGGTCTCGCCGTATCTTTTAATTTTCCTAGTACCTAAAA